TGTGAGCTGTGGGCTTCTGTTTGACGAGAGGGAAGGTTTATTTGGTTCTGGTCAATTCGGCTTCTCCAGCACTACATCTCTTCTAACCCTTTATAGATCTTGTATCAAGGGGGAGGTTAGGTAAAATTTTTTGGTGACCCTCTGTACACCAAAGCATTAGAAGGGCGGAAACACTTCCGGAAGCCAGATCTAAACAAAGCACTCTGTTCATTATGATTCCACCTTCACTCTGACCCTAATTTTGAGTCTTCTGGATCTGGCCTTTGTTCCCATGTAGTCTCAGGGGATCATCAAATTGGCGTTTTGTTCCTGAGTCGTAACTACTGTCAGCCTTACACTGAGCAGCTGACCAGTATAACAAGAGCTATGACTTCACACAGGACATTTTCTCCAGTAACAGTGCTGGCTTCCTCTTGTTTGAGAACTCTTACCACCCTGGGTTTGTGGGGTACCATTCCTACACTCTGAGTAAGCGCTTCTCCTCCGTGTCTTCCTCTCCTTGCAAGGCAGGTACTGCAGGCCTGTGCACCGTTCCTTGTAAGCGCACCCTCTGTGCATGCTTCACTGAACTCTGCACCTCCTCTGCCTGCCGGCAGCACACAGGGTTGCCCCAGTATCTGCTCCATATTCCTTTCCGAGTGGCACACAGTTAGGCCGGGCCAGTTGACCTGACAAACCCGTGCAGAGCCGATGAATCTACGGCGACCCTGCTTTGCAACAGCATACCTGGGGCAGGACCCGGAGGAGCACGAGGGCCCGGGGAACAGAGCCTTCTGACTGGCTGCTGCAAGGATAGATTGAGCTATGGAAGGACACGAGGGTCCCCTGCTGGTCACATGAGCCTCGGTGACACACCCTTACCTGACATAATGTAATATCCTCGGTCTGGTTACTCAGTTTTATACGTTGCTCTCCTCTTCCACTTGTTCAGTGCCTTTCTACTCTGACTAAAAGTGACCGCTAACCAGATTAGCCCCTGCCGGGGACGCCTGGCTCCTCTCCTGTCAGGGTCCGAAGGCTCCCTCCTGCATGCCACCCTCAGGGTCGTCCTCTGCTGTGTTAGCCTTTGCTTCCATCCAGGCTGGGACCGTTGCCTTCCTGGGAGCTTGGCTTTGAACGCTGACACCTCTCTGGAGTGTGCACAAGCCCGAGGGTTTGGAGTTGGTTTGCTTTACTTTTTCACTTCACATTAGGACCAGCAGTGAGCACTAGCTTAGGAGGGATATGGCTGGGGCAAACCCTAAAGCCACCTGCGAGAGCAGTGCGTTTTCCAGCCCAGGTTTCTGTTCAGTGGCAGACACTTGCCTGTGCAAGGCGAGGCCCTGGGCTTGACCCTGGCGCTGCTAAAACAAAGACAGACACCTCTGCGGGCTCTCTTTCCTCTCTGACCTAAGGGGAAAGTAGGAAACTTTTTTCATAGAATGTTACCTTTAAATAAAAATTCATTAAAAGTCTCAGTTTCTTTTAACATTAAGAGAAAGGGGAGGCTGGACATGGTTGATGCACGCCTATAATCTCAGCACTCTGAAGACTGAGGCAGGAGGATTGCTGCAAGTTCCAGGCCAGCCTGGGCTACACAGTGAGCTCAAGGCCGGCCTGAACTGCATGGCAAGGACCTGTCTCAAGAAGACCAAAAAAGGCAGCGGGGCAGGTGGGAGGGGTGGGCGGGAACCAGATTGGTAAAGTTATGGGCCCCACAGGCCTGCAAGATCTGCTGTTTTCGCAAGAGGTAGAAAAATACTGCGACTTAGGTAGTACAAAAGTAACTGTGTGTGTGTGTGCAGTACTAGGGGTTGGACCTGGAGCCTTCACACCATGCTGTACCCTCAGCCCGTTTTGAGACAGGATCTTGCTAAGTTGCCCAAGCTGGGCTTAAATTTGCCATCCTCCTGACTCAGCATTTCAGAGTGCTGGGGTCGCAGACATGTATCACCATACCCAGCTTCATGTCATTTATTTGTTATCCATTTTGGGGTCAGGCATGTAGGAGCGGTAGAGCACACTTGCTTAGCTTGTTCAAGACCCTGGGTTCAATGCCCAGCACAGCAAAAAACAAACAAAAGAAAAAAACCCCAGTTATGTACCAGCACTCTGCTAGGTGCTGTGTGTTTGTTCTCCCATTTAGTGTGTTTGTTCTCCCATTTAACACGTTCACAAGGCTGAATTCCTGTGCCTGCTGATAGTGGCTCTGTCTGTCTGGTGGCTCTGTCTGTCGGGCAGCATGGGACAGCACAGCAGGAGCAGGTTACTCTGCACAAGTACCCTGTGAGGAGCAGATTTTACCCCTACTCTGCAGCCAGGGAGCAGACGAAAAAGCCCAAAGGAACTGGCTCAAGGCCACTCCGCTTTTGTAAGCAGCTCAGGGGTGAGTTCAGGTCCACTTAAGACTTTGAAAGGTCTTCAGTGATGCTTCACTGCCTCTATGGGTACATAAGAAACTGATGTTTTCACTTGCAGAGTACTTTCGAAACTCTTATGCTATCCCCCTGTCACTTTGGTGGTTTTGATGGCTTATTTTGTTTTTGTGGATTAGGGATTAAACCGTAGGGCCTTTGCACTGAGTACACACGCACACACTTTGAAACAGGGTCTCCCCAAGTTACCTGCATTGGGGTTGAACTTCATATCCTCTAGCCTCAGCCTGCCAGAGTGTGGGGGTGACAGGTATGTGCCACCACACCTAGCTTACACCTGTACTACTTCGTAAAAATAGAAAATTAAAGTCCAAAGATGTTAAATAATTTGAATCTAAGCTACTTAATCAGACTTGTTGAGGTAGTACCTTTTTCCATAAAAGCCAGCATTATTAAATTGGAGTTTTCTTGTATATTTTCAATTTATAAGTGGTGATTTAGGTATGTAGAACTAATTTATGAGGAAAGGCATTTAGATGCAAGAGGTTTTTACTTTCTTTTATAACATAATTGTCACTTTTTATAAAAAATAATGTCATGTCTGTCATTTCCATATTAATGTGTCACTTAGGATTTTAACACTGTTATCTCCATGAAATGTTTCTGTATTCTGTGTATGTGTATGTGTATGTGGGTAGTGGTGCTAGTGGTCAACACCAGGGTCTCACACATGCTAGGCAGCCACTCTATCACTGAGCTACGTTCCCTTTTTCATTGTTCTTAAGACTGATGAGGGAAACGAGATCAAGGCTCAAGGTTTAAAAGGAGAAGTTTAGATAGTATAGTTATAGTGCTTGGGTGTTAATTCAAGAATGTTTTGTGTGTGTCTATGTCCATGTGCATATGGTACTGGGGATCGAACCTATGGCCTTCACACTCTGCTATGTCTCCAGCCTTGTTTTCATTTTTCATTTTGCTAAGTTGCCTAAGCTATGCTCTGAGTTGGTGAGTCTCCTGCCTCTGCCTCCCAGAGTGCTGGGATTACAAATGTATGTCACTGCACCTAACTGTAACAAATACTCTTTGATGGTAACTTAGCCTTAGATTTTCGGGGTCAGATGATCTGAAGTATTTGATGCAGTACTAGTAGATACTGTGCTATTTAGCATGTAATTATAGAAAAAGCTTATAGAGTAATGATCTATACTGTAGAGAGTGAGTCAGCTGTAGATTTTCTAAGGTAAATGTCATGATGGACAGGACGAAGACATGAGCTGACAGTCCCCAGGAGTCAGGCTGTTGGTACCAAAGGAACACATGTGTACTCTGTCCAGGGCAAGCGTGTCCAGCGGAGGGGTCCTGCTTGCCTGTCTTTCCGTCCCTTTGGAGGAGAATTCCTGAGACTGTGAATGTCAGGCAGCAAATATAATAGATGAAATTGTAAAGCTTAGCTACTGCATAGTAGTAGTATAAAACCATCTGACAGAACATGTGACATAGGATTCTTGAGCAGTAGTAAACACTACATTAACCACAGAGAGGGCTCAGCCAGATTAGACAATCTTACCCTTAGCAAATGTGAAGAAAAAAATAGCTTATAGATCCCACTCGGGCCAGGAATGCGAAGTTTGCATGATTGGAGCCAGAGCTAACACAGGAAGAATTAATGGTCAGTTCTGTACTAGAGACTGTGGATGAGCCTTAGGTTGGACTCAGATATCTAACAAGAGATTCTAAAGTCAAGTCTAAGGCTGAGGACTTAGTGAGCCTGGGTTCAGTCTCCAGCATCAAAAGCTAAAGTAAAATAAAACTACAGTCTGGGTATAATGCAAGAGAACACATGTAAAGTGCCAAATGATTTGATACCAAACAAGAGCATTGATAGTACATAGGAAACATTGCATTTCATTAGTTATACAGTATTAACAAAGGCATTAACATAGTATTAACAAAGGCAGTATCATGTTTGGCAACTGTCTTTATTACCTGATGTGAAATGAGATTACAAACCTCCCCAAAGCTGTTTACAAATCATATACAAGCCAGGCATGGTGGCACATGCCTGTAATCCCAGCACACTCAGAAGGCTGAGACAGGAGGATTGTTGCAAGTTCAAGGCCAGCCTGAGCTACATGGCGAGACCCTGTCTCAAAAACACAAAAACCAAAAACTGGAAGAAAAAAAAAGTCATATACAAGTGTTAACTGGTAAACCCAGAGGTCTCCTTCCTTGTTACACTATAGTATGCTAAGTATAAACTGCATTTGAAGCTGGGGGGATCTGAGCAAAACAAGGTCTCTCATTTTAACCGGGCACAGTAGCACACCCATGTAATCCTGACCATTCAGGAGCATGAGGTAAAAGGATCACAAGTTCCAGGGCAGGCGGAACAACCAAGAAGGACTCAGTCAGGAATTTAAAAACGCCTGCAGATGTAGCTTAGTGCTCCCTGGGTCCCATCTCTAGTACAATGCATGAATGCATGATCCATCCCCAAACACACTGCAGTGTTTGATTGACTTATCGTGTTGCACAAACTTGGCTGGTAGGAGTGATTCTTGTATTCTAAACATACAGATTAGAGTTTAACATACCTAGCCTTTATTTTTGAACAAGTTAACACTCCTTTTGTCATTTCTCATTAAGGGTCAGCTGTATTTGTTGGTAACAGACCAGGGTTTTCTGACTGAAGAGAAAGTTGTGTGGGAAAGCCTTCACAACGTAGATGGCGACGGAAACTTCTGTGACTCAGACTTTCATCTGAGGCCTCCTTCAGATCCTGAAACTGTTTACAAAGGGCCACAGGATCAGATTGATCAGGTAAATTTGTTTCAGATGTATACTCATCACATGTTAATCTCTCCCAAACCTTTGGATGAAAGAGTCGCTCACGAATACGTTTGTAAGGTTTTCCTGGCCCCTCACACACAGGCAGGTGGTCATGCTGTGTGGGCTGTGTGCCGTGCTGAGACAAGGCCGGGGCCTACTTGTCGTGAGTGTCTTAGAGCACTCTGAACTCCGGGCAAGGTAAACACGCACACACGCCTGATCGGGACACGGGGGGTACAGTGCTCGGAAAAGAAAGACAGGAGAGACACCTTTACTGTCTGCACCGCGTTACACTGCACTGCACGCACAATCTTTATTTTAGGATTCATATATAGTAAACCCGATCAGTTCACAGAGCCCAGATAATTAAGTAGTGAAAAGGCATTCTTTGTGGCAAGCTACAACGTGACAGACTACAATGTTTATTCTAAAGCTATCTAAGTGAAGTAAATAATCACAACCAGTTCTCATAACTTCTCTAGCCCAGGAAGAAATTCATTAGCTCAAGAATGTTGTTAATTTGTCTGCTGTTAGTGTCACAAAGGGTGGCCAGCCACTTCCTCAAGACTTCTGCAAAACAAAGCCAGCTCACAGTATGGATTCCAGAGGGTGAGGGGTCTCACTGAGAACAGGCATTCCTATTCTACCTCCTTCTCGCATACCAGGGCGGCTATTGTAAATTGCAGGTTAGAGGGGGTTGGGCCTACAAAGTGACACCTCATCCCCCACACTTCCTTCCTTTTTATTTTTTAACAACAATTTCCATAAGATCAGGTTATTAATAGTATTTCGTCTTATGCAGTAAAAATACACAAGAACTATGGCAATGAGAACTATAATTAAACTAAGTCCCATGCCACTAAAAGTGTGGGTTATGCTCTGCCAGATTCCTTTGGAATCTAATCCTTTTAAAGATTGAGCAAGCAATTGCGCGAATTGTGCTAGGGATTCATCATCATTTTGCTTTGCAAAATCCTTGTCAATTTGATTATGCAAAGATTTTATTTTCTCCTGGGCAGAGGTGTTTTCATTTAGATACATTCTAATCACTTCCCATTTATGTTCTGTTTGATTATAAGGTCGTTGGGTTATACAGAAAGTAGTTGAATTCCAATCACATTTTAAAAACACTTGATGCTGAAGAGCCAATATTTTTCTACCCATCCATTCAACTGTTTGTTTAAGGAGGTCTATTTGTTGTTGTAGTTTGGCGTTTATTTGCCACTGAGTTAACCAAAGTTTATGAGAATTTTCATGCCATAATTCTACAACATGTTTTTCTTGCAAAGAGGTTTGTAAAGCTATTCCTGAGACTGCTGCTAGGGAGGCTACAGTTATCAGACTTAACAGTACAGCAACCACTATTCTAATAAATCTTTTTGTACGTTTTAACAGATGTTTAAAAAATTCAGTAGTAACAGAAATTACTGGGTCTTGAGACCATGGTCGAGTTAAATTTACAGGCAACCAAATATGAGTTTTTTGTTGTAACAGCATAACTGTATAAGGCTTAGTGAAATTTAGTGTGCTATTCAAGCATGTAAACAATTGACAATTTAAACAAGTACAAAAAAAATGTGTAAAATTAAAAGTTCCCACTAAAAAGACATAAGGCAGAGGTGCACAAACAGTAATATTATACATTTTAAACCTAGTAAAATTATAAGTAGTAGATACAGATCGACTAGTCCCTGAATAGGAAACATTGTACAAGGTTACAGGTTGTATAGCGGCTGGAATCTTCCAAATATGATTTTGAAGGTGATGAGGGTATTCTTCGGCTGCAACAGCAGGGTTAGCGATTCCACCATCTCCCCACCACAAAAGAGACGTCTTCTGAGGAAATATAGGAGCTCCGTCAGTTATTTTCTTTGGATCTGGAAGACTATACACAACAGAGAGATTACATCTTGTCTCATTCTATTCAGCACATCCATTAACGAATTTTCCAAATGGTCCCCAAATAATATACCCATCAATATTTTTAGCAAATTTTCCCATACATAGTTGCCAAATTATGGGATTATAAGAAATATTTTTATAAGTGAATTTAGGGCATACAGGAAATGTATTTCTGTCAGGTGCTGTTAAATTTCTCCAGGTAACATTAAAGGTTTGAGCAGCCAAGGCTTGAAGCCTTGTCCTTTTGTTGCCTGCTTTTATTCCATGTTGAATCCAATACTGCCATCCCAGAGGGATGCAAGGCGGTTCCCCAATGCAAATAGGCCTTTGATTACCATAATAAGTAAAATTGAATAATGTCCCATCATCTTGATTGTGGGGGGTTAAATCAGCCCACGGTGCTGACAAAATTTCTCTAGGTGTGGTATAAAGTAAAATATCACTAGTTCCCCATTTTACAGGTTCTAATAAAGGGGGATTTGGAATATATGCCCAGTACGAATGTGGAGGTACCTCAGTCCCCGATGCAACGGTGAGCAAGGCACATAAAGCTAAAAACAAGTTTTCAGGGTTTAAAGGCTTTCCTGCTTGAAGGACAAGCCATTGCCCTTCTATGGTCAATTTCTTTAATTGTCCCCATGTAGGGAGGGGATTTAAATTTGGTCGCTGTGAGCGGCGGGATTTTCTTAGCTGTAATCTGGCCATGGCTGCGATAGGAACAAGCTCAGCATCTTCAGCCTCTAGCTGGTTTCGCGCTCGCTTCTGAAGGCACGGTTCCGGTTCCTTGGGGAGTTGTCTCCGGGGCTGGCGAACAGGGTCTGGAGGCGCGGATCCTGATCCATCGTCCAGGGACCCACTGCTGAATTCCATTTTCTGTGGAGATATAACCAAAACCTTTCCCCTTATAGAGCAGTGTGCCCTTCTCCCATTTAGCCTCTGGAGCTGTTTTAGTCCAAATAGGTTCATTAATCACAAAGGGCTGTTGTTGCTGTTCGAAATGTCTTTCAGCTCTTGTTAATATTTCACCTTGTGGTAAATTGAGAAAATTTAAAATAAACAATGCTTGATGCAGTAATGTTTTTGGACTGTTTTGCAATTTAAACAGTATTGGTATCTGAATATCCTCCTGACTCCTCCTTTTTAATTTTTTAATTTGCAACTTAAGAGTGCCATGTGCTCTTTTAACAATAGCTTGACCCTGGGGGTTATATTCAATCTCTGTAATATGAATAATATTATGGAGATCACAAAATTGTTTAAATGTTCTGCTAGTATAAGCAGGTCCATTATCTGTTTTGATTTTAGAAGGAATTTTCATAACTGTAAAAGTCTCCAATAAATGTACAATAACATTTTTAGTGGATTTTTCCTGTTGAGCAGTAGCCCATAGAAATGAAGAATATGTATCAATAACTACATGTACATAAGAAAGCCGACCAAAAGAAGGTACATGTGTAATATCTATTTGCCATAACTCATTAGGTTGAGTTCTTCGAGGGTTGACACCTGCGGGAATAATTTTTAAATGTAATGGTCTACAAATAGGGCAGGCTTTTATAATTTGTTTAGCTTTTGTAAAAGGTATCTTATATTTAAGATGCAAATGTCCTGCATTCGCATGATTAAATTGATGTTCTTCAACGGGTGTAGTGAACATAACTAAGGAATCCACTGCATTGTTACCTGATACTAATGGTCCGGGTAACTGAGAATGAGAACGTAAATGAGTAATAAAATAAGAATGATTTCTTTTTTGAACATGTATTTGTAAATTTTGAAATAAAGACAATAAAGCAGGCGTATTAGAATATAACACAGCTGAATAGATATTTGTCACTACTCCAACAGAATAGGCCGAATCGGCTATAATATTAATAGGTTGGTTATGAAAATCTAAAAACACTTGTAATATAGCAAAAAGTTCATTTTGTTGTACAGAGTTAAAATTTGTCTGACGTACCCAGTAAGATTTTTGAGTCCAATATGCAGCTTTATTTTTAGATCCATCTGTAAATATAGTCAAAGCTTGTGGAATTGGCTGTACAGCTAATAAGGTATTAACCACAAATTGTTGACATCTAAAAAAAATCCCATAATTTACTTTTAGGAAAATGATATGAAAAAGTTCCCATGAAATCTGCTAAAGCAATTTGTAAGGTTTCAGTAATTGACAACAAATATTTCCATTGTTCCTTAGTTAAAGGGATAACTATATTGTTTATATCTTCTCCTATCAAAGTTATAGAACGAGCTCTACCATTTATAATTAAAGCTGCAACCATGTCAATATAAGGCATAACATTTTTAGATTGCTTAGTTTTAGTGAATACCCATTTTACTGGCATAGCATTCTGACCTAAAACTGCAGAGGGATAATGAAAAGTATTAATAATATATAAAGTTAGAGGCAATTTAGGATCAATCCTAATTAAAAATGCATCCTTAATTCGTTGTTCTACAAACTGTAATTTTTGCTCTGCTTTTGCTGTTAAAGAACGAGGGCTGGATGGATCTGAAGAGCCCTGTAGAGTAGCAAACAAATGTTGTAATGCATGGGTAGGGATACCTAGTGTGGGACGAAGCCAATTAATATCCCCTAATAATTTTTGAAAATCATTTAAAGTGGATAACTTATCTCTCCTAATAGACATTTTTTGTGGAATCACCTTTTGTCTAGTAAGAATATATCCCAAATAATGACTAACTTCTTCCTTTTGAATTTTATCCTGTGCTATTATAAGTCCAAACGGAGAAAAATATTGAGGTAAAGTTTTTAAAATATCTTCTAAAACATTTTTATCACTATATGAGAATAAAATATCATCCATGAAATGAGCCGTATAAACCTGAGGCCATCGTGCACGCACTGGTTTTAATGCTGCATCAACATAAATTTGACATATAGTTGGGGAATTTTTCATTCCTTGGGGTAAAGTCCTCTATTGATATCTTTGATAAGGTCTTTGATAGTTTGTTTGAGGAATTGAAAAAGCAAACCGTTTTCTATCTTCTGGATGTAATGGGATGTTAAAAAAACAATCTTGTAAATCTATAACATATACAAACCAACCAGCAGGGAGCGCTGAGGG